GGCACCATGTAGTTCTTCTAGTCTCATAGTCATATAAGCTGCAGATCAGTTGGTATACCAGTTGCTAGGACTAATTGTTTCCATGAATTTTTGGTTTTCTTCTTTCTTCTTTGCTCTGGAGGAGGAGAGAGACCCATCGTTGCATCTAGATGGCAGCTTGCAAGCTTTTAAGATCCCATTCGCTACTCGCCAAAGTAGGAGGTGGAACAATGTTTTGTGTAGTATGTTATGCCAATTGAGCTTGATGTCCCCTGCAACCATGATCCCAAGCCCACAGGTTCAACTACTCGGTCCCTCTGGGTAGCTGGCTGTGACCAAGCAATGACTACAACCTTGCCCCTTGTCAGCTCAACTATACACCTGGGAATTCAGATCATACCCATAAACTTATAGGACCATTGTCTGCCAACCCTAAACCTGTTCTTGGGTATACTCCCTGCTTCATAGACATACCTAATAGTTTAGCCTGTCCACCCCTCTATCGTCCTGTATACCCATGTTTGCCTTCACTGACAATGCCATACTATATGTGCAAGGGAACCCTTTCTGATGGAATCACTAGTAATGTGCTATAACAAACTCAAGTTTTTCCATATGAAACTGCTTGTGGCCTTTGTTGGAGAGGTCAGCTTAGCAACTTAGTTCTTCCCTGTCCTCTCCCCTGTGCCCACCCCTAATTCCTGCAGAGTTACGGATTCAGCTGAGGAGGTTTGAGGAGCTGTTGCCCCAGGTGTCTTGGCTCGTGACAGAACATTTCAAGGAGCACTACTGGAGAAGGTTCTCCAGCTCCATCAGTGAGATTTGGGACCAGTTCCAGGAGCAGCTGATGCAGCTGGAGAGAGCTAAGGTGAGGGTCTTAGGATCAGCCATTTCCAGTCCAGGACCATGGGTCTTGGGAGTTCAGCAATGGAGGCAGGACATGGGCAGGTCAGAGGGTTGGGCTTGAGATTGTTGGATACGGGCTGAGGGACACATGCCATTGGAGAAATGAGAGCTGACACAACAGCTTCTAAACAAAAGTCATTCAGTAAATGCCTTGAGTTTAGTGGATGGGTCTGCTGGGTTTGGTGGGTATGAAACTGCTTGTGGCCTTGTTGGAGAGGTCAGCGTAGCAACTTAGTTCAACAGTGATTTTCCACATGGGTCCTTGGAGTCAAGAGACATGGCTGCTGCTGATCCCGCTGGTCTACAGCCGTGATTGTGCTGGGGCAGAGGCCCACTGCCCCTCTCCCTGACCTTCAGAGTTGGCTTCAGCCATGCTCCCATCTTGGCTTCTCTGCTCCTCCTCTGCCTACCCCTGCCTCTCAGACCAGCCAGATCAGAGGACAAACACATCAGTCTGGCAGTGGCCATTACTGGCAGAGGATGTAGGCCAGCGAGTTTGCTTCAGGTAGTTCTGACATACGGACTCGGTTAGCATGCCCCCTGACTTCTGGACTGTGTGACTGAAGGATGAAAACGCCCAAAAGCTCCATCCAAATCTCGGACACCCGACAAACTTCCAAGAAATGGAGTCTCTGTGCCAAGTGGAAGAGAAAAGGCAGGAAGCGCTGGATACTGTGATTGAGACATACAAGGAGAAGCTGGAGGTCAGTGGTGCCATTGACCTGCCAAGTCCATGTTCTGGGGGCCACACTGTCCTCCTGGAACATTGTCCCCACTGACAGCCAGCGATGGTGCTGAGCACGCCGCCTGCTGGCTGGGAAGCGTAGGGTATCTTGTATAGATGAAAATGGTCACTACAGGCTGTTTAACTTGAATTTCCTTGATTTCTAAATTAATTACAAAATTACTAATGAGGAGAGCCTCTTTAAAACAGGCTTTTCAGAGCAGTTTTAGGTTCACAGCATGGGAACATGTCTATTCCAAGATGCTGCTCTGTTTCCTTCTCTGTGGAACATCTGTGTTCCTCTCTTGACCGTCTCTGAGTCATTGCTTATCTTCAACCCACATCACCTCTTGGGGGACACCTCCTGGTGGAGGTGCAGGTGCCTGGTAACTAGAACACAGCTGGCACAATGGGTTTGGTCTTGTCTTGCCAGCTGGCACCACAAAGCCTCCCTCCAAAGAACACCCAGCCCCTTCCTCTGCTGCCCTCTGAGGGAAGTCCCTCTTTCAGTAGCTCTGCGCTCACCATGTGTCCTATAGGAATTCACCAGGAAGTACAGCCGGTTTTTCATAGCCACCCTGGCCAACTTCACCAAGAAATTCCTGCTGCAGTTGGATGAAGTGGTCACCATCGATGACATCCAGGCTCCAAGTAAGTGACACAGCCATCTGTGTGGCAGAGGGCTGTCTCCCACACCAGACTTCCAGTGGGAGGGAGGGGGCAGATTCCTCATCTGCCTCGAATTACAGTCAGTGGAAGTCCCCCTGGTGCGGGCTGCCGAGCGAGGCCCAGCACGGTAACCCGGCTCTTGCTCACCCAGAGATGGAGCCTCCCAAGCAGAAAACGTCGATCCTCATTCGGAGAAAGCTTGCCGGGCTCTCCTTGGAGGAGGAGCGAGAGAAGCCCCTGATTGAGAGGGGGAGCAGGTGAGAGTGGGGGGTGGTGAGGACGCTGAATGGCAGGTGCCACGTGAAGGCCCGGGCTCTAACATCAGGCCGATCCGCTGACCCCGGGGAGGTGTTAGAGTCAAAGCCTCAGGGTCCTGGTCTGTGTCATGAGGACAGCAGCCTGCCTTACGTGGGACGCTGAAGAGGAAGTTCAGTGAGGTAGTGCCCCAGCACATACGAAAGCCCCAGCAGCTCTTGGGTACCTCGATAAGGACCCTACAAAGAGGCTCACAAAAAAGGGGAAGCGTGTCCCAGGAGGGGGAACATCCTTCGGTTAGCAGTGGCAGTGTGAACCCCTGTACCTGTGAGGCATGTGTGACGAGCTATCAAAGTGGCTGTCCCCAAGAATGTGACTCGGAAGAAGCAGCGAAGCAGTGAGCTGCCCACCGCTGCTCTCGGTGGTGGCATTTATAGCACGAGAGGAAAGCGGGCAGGGGCTGCCGTGCGCTGCCGGGCTGGCAGACCGCCCTTGGAGCCAGATGGCAGAAGGTGGATGGGACACCAATGATGGTCACAGCACCCTTTTTCTGAGTTCCGCCTGCGTGCCAGGCACCGTGCTGGGCATTTAGCAGAACAGCTTTCCCCTGTAAGAAAGGTCCTGTCGGTATCCTCATTTTCTGGATGAGGAGTCTGAGGTCCAGGAAACACTGGCTCTGGCTGGCTCCAGAGGTGGGCATCCCCGTTCCCACCCAGAGCCCAGACTGTCTCGACATGCCCGTTAAAACAGTATGGAAATATGGAGCCGAGAACGTGAAGGCACATGCAGTGAGAAGTTAAGCAGGGTGTTTCTTTTAACTAAGATGTTTAAAGTCATAATACTTGTCTACAAGGAATGCTGAACTTTGCCACCAGGTTAGCGGGTGGCCTGTGAGTGATGAAGCCATGCCCGTGGGGTGTTTTCACACAAGTTTGTTTGTAGGAAGTGGCCGGGAATCAAACCCACCGACTTCACCATTCAAAACAAGACTCTCCTCCAGAAGACCCCATCCACAGCCACCACCAAAACGACCCTGGGCCACCTGGCGGCCGTGGAAGCCCGAGACGCTGTTTACTTGGTGAACAGAGATGGTGGGGTGGGGTGGGGTGGGAGTGTCCCAGGGAGCCTGTGCCAGCTTAGTTTGACAGTGTTGCCCCAACCAGCTGCCTTAGGGAGGAGGCCGAGAGCTCCCCACCAACATGTGACCTGTGGAACGGAGCTCACAGGTCAGGGTCCCCCAGGGCTAAGGTCTCAACACTCAGGACAGTTGCCATCCACAGGCATAAGGATGTGGGCTGCGGGTCACATATGGTCTAGTGCAGAGCCTGTAGGTCACTGCATGGCCCCCAAAGCTGTGGGGACCCAGCTGAGGGACACACCACCTGGAGCGCAGAGTGACGAAAGGCTTTCCAGAGGAACAACTGAGTCACAGCTAGTCAGACGGAGAGAACAGAGTGGGTGGAGGTGTGGAAGCTCCTGAAATAGAGGGTCACAGAGGGGCTGTAGCAGAAGTGACAGCTAACAGGATGAGCACTTATGAGGGACCTATAGTCCTGACATGAATGAACACACGGACTCCTCCCAACCACTTTATGGGAGCGTAGTGCCTAAGGCATCTGACTGCTAACCAGAAGGCTGGCAGTTCAAACCCACCAGCCGCTCCTCGGAAGGAAGACTGGGCGATCTACTTCCACAGAGATACCACCTTGGAAACCTGACGAGGGGTCACTATGAGTCAGAATTGACTCGACAGCAATGAGTTTTTTGTTTTTTTTTTAACCACTTTATGGAGGAGGAAGGATTATTATCCCCATTTCACTGATGAGCAAACTGAGGCTTAAAGAAACATGCCCCTTTTGATGCCACAACATAGTGGCAGAGCCAGGATTTGAATCCAGTGCCTTGGTGGACCTGTGGGGCCTGCCTGACAAGGAGGCTGCACCCAAATACTATGTGAGGGACATCTCAGCTCTGAAGTTCTGTGGACTGTAGGTCCTGGTGCCCAGACAGAAACCTCGTCCTGCCTGGAGACTGGCTGGTCCCAGGACCGGGAGAGCCTGCCTTGCCCGTCTGCCACACCTGTAGAGGGGGCAGCTGTGGGGGCTCCAGGTCTGGAGGGAGCAGCTTCCAGAGGAAGCCAGGACCCCTGAACTCCAGGGAGGCCGGTAGTGCAGAGTCCAAGGTCAGGCAGGCAGGGAGTAGGCACTTGACAAGTAGCCAAATGGTAGGGTTCAAAACCACCCAGAGGTATCTTGGAAGACAGGCCTGGCATTCTGCCTTCAAAAGTTCACAGCTTTGAAAACCCTGTGGACTGCAGTTCCACTCTGTGCACATGGGATCTCCATGAACTGGACTCAACTCAGCTAGTCCATGCTTGGCCCCAAGCAAGCCTCAGAGCCTCAGTTCTCTCTGTAAAGTGGGGAAGAGAACTGGGCCTACCTGCCGAGTTGTTGGGAAGACTTGGGGAGAAATGACTAGTGAAGCTCTCACCCGGGGCCTGGAGCAGGAGAAGGTTCCCTGCCAGGCAGGCACAGCTTCCTAGGGCACGGGGCTGAGAAACCCCTTCTCATGAAGCCTCCGCCTGCTGCCTTTTGCTCCCAGAAATACCTAGCCTCGCTGGAGGAGGAGATGAAGAAGATGGAGAGGGACAACGCGTTGCGGGTGAAGGAAGCCCTGCGCTGGAAGGAGAGCTGGAAGCGCTCCGTGCACACCATCCGGGGCCTGTACTCGTGAGAGGCCTGGCCGGCCCAGCCCCAAATAAAGACTCGCTTTGTATGGTCTGCTCCTGGGGAGTCATTCAGTCATTCACCCCTAGCATCTCCTGCAGCATAGCTCTGTACCAGCTGGCTCACTGGCGGTTACAGAATGAGGAGGAGCTGAGTGCCTTCTTAAAGGGTTAGGCCGCCACCTGCACTTCCAACTCCACAACTGGGCCCCTTGCTGCCTGACAACTCCTCCTATCTGCACACTTGGAATCCTCCTTATTTCTGGGCCCTGGCCAAGGCTGAGCTGTGTGAATGATCCACACCTCACAGAGGGCAACGGTGACCTCCTAGGTAGTCAGGACCCTCCCTGGTGGTTCTGTGACCTCTCTCTGAACAACATCCCTCTAAGCCCCCGGTAGCCCGTTCTCCACTGTTCGGTGGCCGTGTGGGCGCGCCAGCTTTGGGATCAGCCTCTCTTGGGGATTAGCCCCTTTCAGCTGACTCACCTTCTGCCTTTGTGGGCAGATTAGGGGTTCTGCTTGATCAGCACATCCACAGCTTCACCAGGGCCTGGGTTTTAGCAGGGAGGGGCAGTCTCGTTCCTTTGTTCTATGTTTTATTTTTTACTCCTTACTCAGTTAAAACAAATCCAGTTGTAGAAATTTCTGTATGTGCTCATGAGGCAATAGCTGGCAAGAGAGGGATGGTGATGTGAACGACAACCGAAAACACATGTATCCAGACTCCTTTTGCCCCGGATCCGTATTTGCAGACTTCATATAAGTGAAAAAAGGTGAAAATGAGGCTCTGGGGATACAGTTCTTAAAGCATTCGGCTGCTAACCAAAAGGTGGGAGATTTGAACCCACCAGCTGCTCCATGGGAGAGATTCACAGCTTTGGGAACTCTATGGGGCAGCTCCACTCTATCCTATAGCGTCTCTATGAGTCGGAATTGTCTCAACGGCAGTGGGTTTTTGGTTTATGTAAGTAGAAGTCCCCATGAGGCTGGGTTCCATCCACAGACAGCTTTGAGTATGTTGGTACTTAGCTTCAAAAAGGATTATTGCTGAAACTACTTGTGATTAAATAACTCAGAGAGGAATGAAACGTAAGCCCTGTTCAGTTGTTCACAGAGGAGATGAAACCCAGTCACTTCCTGTGTCCTTCACTGTAGCCAATTGGAGGAGCAGCGTGCCCCAGAAGCTGGTGTACTGGAGCACTCAGCGCCCAGCGTGAGCTTCCAGGACAGCTTTGCTGGAGAGGAACTCGGCGAGACACTGAATGATGCCACAACCAAGCCACCGTGGCCCCTGTGGTGGTACGTAAAGTGACAGAAACGAGAGACTGTGTGTGTGTGCGTGTTGAAATAATACAGAGAAGAATGGTCATATGGGAAGAAGACGGGTGCAACTACCCGCCACACCACCACTGAGGCGATTCAGACTCAGAGCGACCCCCACAGGGCTCCCCAGACTGCTTTCTATGCAAACAGATTCCCTCATCTTTCTCTTGCAGGGCCTCTGGCAGGTTCAAACAGCCAACCTTTTGTTTAGCAGCTGAGTATCTTAACCACTGTGCCACCAGAGCTCCTTATAGGAGCAACTCCAAGACAAACCACACACTGCCATCGAGTTGATTCCAGCTCATAGTGACCTCCATTGGGTTTTCAAGGCTATAAATCTTAACGGAAGCAGATTGCCTCATCTTCTTCCATGGAGCAGCTAGTGGGTTTGAACCACCAAGCTTTTGGTTAGCAGCCAAATGCTTTAATCACTATAACACCAGAGCTCCTTATAGGAGCAACTCAAACCAAAGGAAAAAACCAAAGTCACTGCCATCAAGTCGATTCTGACTCATAGTGACCCCCTCTGGGTTTCCAAGGTGGTGAATGTACAGAAGTAGATTGCCCAGCCTTCCTTCCATGGCGTGGCTGGTAGATTTGAACCTCCAACTTTCTGGTTAGCAGTGAAATGCCTTTGGCACTACACCACCAGAGGTCCTTATAGAAGCAAACAGAGGTCTCTAAAACTGCCATTCTAAATTTTGGAGGGTGACGTGAATACTGTGCTCCCCTAAATCATCAACTACATGAACCCAAATGGTCAACATGTACCCTGAAGCAGAGGTGAGGAGGTCAGGGGCAGGGAAGCTAGATTCATGGAGACAGAACAACCAGAATGGAAATAATGAGAACGCTGACACAATGTGGAAATGGGAACCAATACCACAGAACAATCTGTGCATATTTGTTTGATACGAACCAAATTTGCTGTGTAAACTTCCATCTCACACACAATAAAGTAATTTTATAAATTGTGGCTGATGAAAGAGATGTTTGTAAACCGGCTGTGGAAGCTGTAAAGTCCATGAGGCTCTGAGAGGAAAAAGGGGGACATGTATCTTTCTCGGGCTGCACTTCCAAGACTGAAAAGCCTATCAGGAGAGGAAAAAGCAAAAAGTTACAGAAACGTTCCTGAAGCATAGCTGCTGTCTGAGTGGAGGGAGGAGACGGCAGAGGAGAGGTGCCTCAGCCAACCGCATCTGTCCGTCTGCCTTGCACAGGTGGTGTGCTGCTGTTCACATCTACTGTGGCTGGTGCGCAAAAAGCTCCCCATGTGTGGACAGAAAGGCATGAAGGGGGTTACACGGACTCTGCCACTTTTTTCCATCCAAGATAAGGTGGCAACAAATTCACGTTCCATCCTCACATCTGGGCCTCGACGGGCACTTCCTTACCATGAGAATCTTCTCTGGGGAGCACGGATTGCCTGCCAGGCTGCAGCCCCCAGCCAGGCGAGCTGTCACTGATCCACCCACCCTGCCAGCCTGCACAGGCACCGGAGCAGAACATCGAGGGCCTCTCCACAGCCCCTGGGAGTGTGTCTGCCTCTCCTGAAAGACAGACGCCCCGGCTCCTCTGGTCCAAAGATGAGCTTGGACTTTTGCTGATGGACAATGCCTTTCATGTGAGTCTCATCCCTTTTGAAAACCCTGCTCTTTGGCCTCAGGATATGCACCTTCTACCACAGTGTTCATGGAGCCCCTGAGTGGTACAAAGGGCTAAGCACTTGGCTATCAACTGCAAGGGTGGTAGGTCTGATCCACCCATGTGCCAAGAAAGCCTGGCAACAGGCTTCCAGGTCACCGACAGGAAAAACTGCACGGTTTTCCTCTGAAACACAGAGCCGCCGGGGGTCAGAGTCCAGTGAGCAGCAATTGGTTAGGTCTGTGTTTTAAGGCAGTACCTTACTTTTGTATCTAGGTGTTGCTTTCACATATACTGGTCCCCGCCACCAAGCTCAACCACCACTGTGCCTACAGACTAACAACCCATCCGTGCTCTCTCTGACGTCTCTTAATTCTCCTGAAATTCTGTCACATCCAGGGCACGGAGGTGAACTCCTGAGCTTTGGACCACTTTCCAAAGCAAACACCACGGCGTCCTAACCTGCTGTGGCCCGCAGGGTTTTCAGTGGCTGAGTTTAAGGAGAGGATTGCCAGGCCTCTCTTCCCAGTCTTAGGCTGGAAGTTCCACTGAACGCTGTCCAGCGTCATGGCAACCCCCAAGCCTCCAGTGCGACAGGTGGCGGCTGCGCACCAAGTTCATGGGGCAGCTTCTAAAGCGCGTCTCCCACCCAGAAGGCAAGATTCCACCAGGAGCCACCTGTGCTCCTTCAGGAAGACAGGAGACAATACAAAGATGAGTAAAACACAGACTGGGTGCTAAACCGGTGGTGCCAAGGAGAAAAGCAGAGCGGAGAACGGAGAGAGGACGTAAGGCGTGTGACGTTTCAGAGTACAGCCACGCTCTCAGAAAGGACGACTTCCAGGACCTGAAGGAAATGGGTCGGAGAATGAAAGTATCTTCTCCACATGCTGAAAAAAACAATGAGCCACAGTTGGATGAAATGTCCGAAAGGGCGGTGGACACGATACATACTGGAAGCGCAAGTGCGGGTGAGGCGGCGGCTACGCTCCCTGCTGGGTCCCCGGCCCTCCCGACCCACCGGTACTTGCGCTGCCCACGAGGAGGCGCTCCGCCGCCCGCCGCTCCGTCGTCTTCCGCTGTCCGCGCGTGCGTGGGCACGCGCAGAAACCGCTAGGCGGCGTCGGTTTCCCTTCCCACGCGCGGACGCCGGCGTGGGGCCGGCGCG